CAGGAAAATATAGGTTTAGATTGTCCTCCTGGATATTTTGTTAAGCCCTTCTAAAAAATTTTCCATTGAGACATTTCAGTTTGGAGATACTTCACTGTGTAGACTCACCTTCATTTTTGCTTCCCCAATAGTTAGAAAGCTGCTTCTGAAAATATGATATTGATTGCCACTATTCCAAATTAAATTAATTTTTCCTTCCCCTTTTTCTGTGTTCCCCTCATCCTTCCACACAGTTACACATAAAAACCGATCCTGATTCCCCTTAAAGCAATCAATCTGTTATGTATCAAAATTCTGGTATAGTATCTCCAACTGGGATTCTCTCTTAATAGTAACAGACCTATTGGGCCAATTTTTCCAGATCATGTTTTTCTATGCATGTTATTTTTATTTTCTTCCCTGGGGAAAGTTTGTCAAAGTATCAATAATTGCTGAGTATTTTCAAGCAATTACATACTCTCATCTGATGGAGCTACATCCAAAGCACATAAATTGCTTATGAAAAACCCTTGCTACATGAAAAAAAATTATGAAAGTATATCGCACTGTTATGTTCCTCTATTTTAAGGCAAGGTACACTGTCAAACAGAAAATAGGCTGGTTTGCCATGAACTGCTCATCACAACCCCATTAGCTGTTTCATTGTTTTATTATGATCTGTGGAATTCTGTGATTCCTCATCATTGTAGTGGAAAGGCTAACAGAATGAGGAAAAGGAACAGAATCTCTGACTTCTAGTGGGTTGGATTTTTTAATCTTTTTGTTGTTGTTGTTTTCCCATTAATTGGAACAAAGTTTATAAAATCAGGGCTCCTTCATGGAACAAAATGTTTCTGAAGCACTGATTCTGCAGTCTTTAGACATTTCCAGCTATTTATTTCTGCTTCCACCTGAGCCACTTTGGAAACTTTGGCTCTAATTCCTCCAAACACCTGTGCTTCCTCATTGGGTACTACTACAGAAATACTGTCTCTTCAGAGCTATAAGGCGCACCAGAGAAGTTTCAACGATAGACTATAAGGAAACAGTAATTTGTTTGAAATTTTGCAGTGCATCCTGTGAAAGAAAAGCAAAAGAAGTAAGCGGAATTTTAGTCTCAACAGACTTGGTAGTTTTGTTTGTACCTCTTAGAAGCAAAGATTTTGTGAAGTCATACACGGCATAACTTTTGTGAACTATCTTTTATACAATGTCTGTCTCTTTTACAATTTCTGTCTAGGTAAAACTGATTCTCATGGGGCAAACTGGACAGATATCTAAGGAAGCTAAAGTGATTGTTTTTGCTGTATTCATTTTAGGGTTGCACTGACACAGAAACTAATACCTCCAGTATGTTCTCCACATTTGCTAGCAGACAGATTTCCTATGAAAGCAGTAAAGACACAACTCAAACTAGTGAAATAAGAGCCAAACCTAAACTGAAGAGCCATGATTCTGGGATTTGTGAGAAGGTAATAGACTGCATAATATATGAATTCTCTTACAACTGGTAGGTTAACAAACCTGCACACTTTATCATAATTAATCATGAAGGTTCCTGCCAAGAAGACGGGGATAACCTAGGAGTTAACACTCCAAGTAATGACTTAGAGGCTGTAAAAAGCTTTTTATTTACACCCTGGTTCATTATTCATCTGTCTTTGTTGCATTTCCTACAAGCAATGGTGCTGTTTCAGTAAACTTAGCATCTGAACGGTATGTTGTCTTGGGTTTGGTTTTCAGTGTGTATTCAGTAACATTTTTATTTCACTGTCCAAATTATTTGGTCAATCTTTCTGTTGACTCACTATTTGCTATCAAATGAACACATATGGTGAGAAGTAAAAAACAAGGTTATCTTTAGTATATCACTACTTTTCAGTCAGTCCTCTGCCATCCCCCTTTTTTACTTTTTCCTATACTTTGCATTTCATGTATGTAAAATATTGTGAAATACCTATATGTCATTTATATCTTTCTTTCTTTTCTGTGTTCATTTTTCAGAGAGCTGTGGATGTTGATGACATATCCATGGTGGAATTGAATGCCACCAAGTACACTGCTGCACCTAGTGTAAGAATTATTATTTTAATATTTGGCATGGGTGTAACTAACCAAGGGAACAACAACTAACTAGAATCTCAGTTTCTTAGCACAAAGTAAGGGGGTTTTTTTGAGATGCAAAAATCACACAATACTGCCGGCAGAATATAGAAAACATGACCACAAAGGATAGATCATTGCTGAAACTAAGCAGGAGAACACATATACTACAGGGTTCTCCTTAAGCCCAACTTCTTCAAGGAACTTGAATATTTTCTTTAATGCTGTACATCTCCTGATGAGGTCTGAGATTTCCTTAGTGGAGCCTGGAAGCATTAATTGTGTGCCATGTTTATATGAATAACATACACAGTAAGCTGCGATAGCTGTTCTGATGGCTGTACCTCTGAGACAGCAATAGTCTTGTGGCAAGTACCGCTGTACAAAGTGACATTGTTAACTATTTAATGCTCTCTGTTTTGGGTAACACTAAACATCTAAAAAATGCAACTTGGAGGAAATCAAGGGAAGTTTTTGAAGCATGCCATATCAGCTATCCAGTAAGATGTTGTGCTAGCATCTATTTCTTCTTCCATGTAAAAAAGTTATGGCATACTGATAACATTTTTTTTACATCTGCCACTAGTGAGTCAATTTGCCTTAATTCTTGACAGACAGGGAAGTAAGAGAAAAGAGTTGACAGATGAAAACAAGCCGGTTTTATCCTTGCAGTATTAAGACCCATGTAATATAAACATCTTAAATTATCTCTTTATTGTTAGTAGTGATCCTTATGAGCTGTTGCAAGCCTCATCCTAACACCCTCATTTTTGGTCCTGTCCAAGTGACAGCTAACATTGCTATTGTCAAAAAAAGCTAATTATTCTTTCCCTCAATTCCTGTTTTCACGTCATTCTCTAGTTTGCTTCCCCCTTCAAATTATCCATGCTGTTACCACTGCATTTTACATCACCTCTTGCCCCACTGAACCTGAACAGTCCCTCTTCATATAGAGAGTCACTTCATTGAAGTCATAGACTGTCTGAGCATATTCATAGCACTTTTTGTTCATAGCTGAATGTGCCATCATGAGCCTGGTCTTTTGTCAAAGTAGATCAGCTCTTAAGTAGCAAATGCAAAGTCTGTGATTTAGTACATTGACTTGTTTAACAGTTTTTTTCTTGCAAGTTACTCATGAAAGATTCAAAAAATGTTCAGATCTACTTTTTCTTCCATCCTTTAAGTTTGGTTTTAAGTTTGTTATGGGGATCAGCAAAGTGCTTATCTAAATATATGCCATATTTTCACAGATGATGCAAATATGGTGTTTTCTGTTTCTTTTAAATCCTTGGTTTCTTTTAAAACCTTGCATCCTTTAG